CATTTTTAGCTCACCTCAACGAAGTTGGGGGAGCTTATATAATACCGTCGGTGTTGGCGTGATGGCGTCCCAGGTTAAGGTTTTTGGAGCAGTTTTCTTTTCAAGTACTTCTATGACCTATATTAGTCAGAGATGCATGGAGGATGCTTCTAGTGTGTTTCATTGTACCAGTCAAGGTTTCAGATGCTGCAATTTCAGCTAAAAAATGACCAGGTTAATGTTTTTGGAGCAGGTTAAAGTTTTTGGAGCAGATGTTATTTCCAAGTATCTATAAACCCTATATATTGACCAAACTTGCATGGATGATACATCTAAGGATGCACACTACTGGACTTGCTTCAGATGCTGGATCTGACCTACATTTTCTGGATGAGTAACCACGTTAAAGTTTTGGAGCAGATGTCATTTCCAAGTAACTATAAGCCCTGTATTGACTAAACTTGCATGGATAATACATCTAAGGATGCACACTACTGGACTTGCTTCAGATGCTGGATCTTACCTACATTTTCCGGATGAGTAACCAGGTTAAAGTTTTTGGAGCAGATCTCATTTCCAAATAACTATAAGGCCTATCTGAACCAAACTTGCATGGATGATGCATCAAGGGACGAACAATCTCAAACTTGCTTCGGATGCTGGATTTGACTTACCTTTTCTGGATGAGTGACTAGATTTAAGTTTTCAGATAAGTCTATTCCCAAGTAACTGCAAGCCCTATCAGACCAAAATTGCGTAAATGTTGCATCTAGGGATGCACACTCCTAGATTATTAGTTTAGTGTGGGACTTTGCCTTACTTAAAGGCAACATTTGTTGAGGTGAGCTCTGTAATCTCTGATTACCTATGTTTAGCTCTACTTGTCAGAGACCAGAAGAGCTTATGCGATGGTAAGGTGTCTGTCTGTCTGTGCGTCTGTTAACAATTTTTCAAAATGCTACTCTTACAGTTTTGATTTGATTTCAATATAACTACGCATGCAAGTAGACTACACTAAGATACCTAATTCTGTATATTGGTTTTTGATTTCGATGAACCCTGTTGCCATGGTTACTAAAATAAGAAATTTCTGTGCAATATTTTTAATACAATATTTTACTATGATGCAAAACTGACAAAAGTATATGTTTTTTTTTTTTTTTTTTTTTTTTTTTAATTATTATTTATTCAAATTTATAAGTAACTATTTGAATCTTTTATGTGATAAATGTATGGCAGAAAAAAATAGAAATTGTTGATAACATGTGTTCAAAAAATATAAATCACGCCTGTTTGTAGGTATGAAAAATAAACAATGCATAAATACAGCTGTCAATCAATTTTAATTATCTCCAAACCTGGCCATCGGTGTGCATTAAGGCGTGAAGTGATTTCCTGTTACCCAGTGTACATTTACACACCTTTCTGTGCATTAAATAAACAAAGGACAGACAGACAAATTTGGCATGAATGTAGATTCAAGCTTGTTCAAATCATGACCCCCCTCCCCCTGCACCCCTCCCCCTCCCAGGGTAGGGTGGCAAACATCTTTAAAATTCTGTTTTCAAGAACAGCAAATCCATGATAAGTCATTTGAATATGGAAGCATCCTCAGCTAGTTCAGATTTAATTAAGTTTAAAACATGACACATGGGGATAGGGTGTGGCTAGAACAGGTGATCAAAGCTTTACATTTGAATATATAGGAGAAGAAATCTACTGATGAAGAACAACAGGGCCATACTGACTCAGGTGAGCATTATAGCTCATGGGCCTCTTGTTTAAAAATTCTTGGAGGCAAACAGAGTAAAAAGTTGTTATGAGCAAGGGTATTTTTGCCAGATTTGTTAAATTCTGGATCACTGGGTCAAGCGTTCTGTTGCTGAACAGGGCTCTATTGATCTTGTACAGAAATTTGTACTGTACTGGGAGCTTTTACCCTTTGCTATTCACCTATGATAATTAATCACTGTTCATAAAAGAATTACCCCCAAAAATATGTGTAATACTTAAAAATAATTTCAATTTTGTAATGGTCAGGTAGACTTGTATTTTAGATAAATAAGAATGAGATAAAAATACTTTGTATATTAAATGGTCTTCAAAGAGCAAGAGAGGCCAGTCTGAGAAGGTTTGAGATAAGTGTATGTGCTCAAGCACTATTGTTTTGTTTGGTCTAAATAGTGATAGTGACAAATGGGAATGTATTATCACTGGCAGGCACAGGCAAGTAAATAAGTATACTTTAGGATTTGTAACCAAGTCGTAGACTATTTTATTGATCCCTGAGCATCATTTCTCTTGTTTTTGGGCAATTGATATTCAATTGATATTCATCTATCAGTTTATTTGTTTTATACTTCAATCTATGGATCCTTTACAGCGTTGTATTATACTCATGTGACCATTAAGGCCCTTGGGCCTCTTGTATTTCAATAAGATACATTCTTCTATTAAGATTTGCTTTTTGAATTTCAGAAACAAAGAATGATGATTTTCCAGGTGGAAAAATGATAACAGAGGTCAAGCAAGCATTACCAGAGCATTCACTGTCACAAGCAATAGCACAAACAGTTGTGTTTTCCCTAGTTCAAAAGCAAAAACACCCTGAGTTTTTACACCACATGATACCAAATATTGTTATTTCCCCAGAAAAGGTTGAAATTATGATGTATGATTCAGATAATGATGTTTTACTTTGCAGCAATCAAATTCTTTTATTCAATTTGGACCTCCCAGAATACAGAACTCTTATTGATGAGACTGTTGTTATTCTTTGGATGGTTTTACATTACAGAATATTTTGTACTGGATTTAATAAGGCAAAACCTTATGTACTTGAAAGATGTAAATCAAATTTTAGACAACTTGTTGCAAGTAAATGGGATATCTATTCAAAATCCTTGAAGAGCTGTGTTTCTGGTTTCCCTTCTGTAGAAAAATGGCCGATAAGTGAGTTAATTCAGTGTGGTTTAACACTTGAACTTGAGTCTGACGACTTTTAAAATGAGAATTTTACAAAATGAAGGTTTGTGAATATGTGAAAACCTATTTCAGTACATGCATGATTGCATCGAGGTTGTTATTCGTGCAACAAGAGGAGAAAATATGTACAACAAAGTACTAGTGAATTGTCAGTTACGAATATAAGAACTTTAATAAAATTCCAAAATTCATCATATCTTTAATTGTTTAGTAGCTATACATTTTTAAGGGGAGAAAATATGTACAACAAAGTACTAGTAAATTGTCAATTACGAATATAAGAACTTTAATAAAATTCCAAAATTCATCATATCTTTAATTGTTTGGTAGCTATACATTTACTCAAAAAAATGTGCATTTAGTTAGTTCACAAAAATTGTCCAGTTAAGAGGTTTTTGAGCTGTATATTCCAGGTCTGTATGAAGCAATATCAGTTTGGGCACAGTCCACATAATTCCTTGAAAGCAAACAAAGGGGTCATGGACGTTATAATTGAGGGAACAGCATAGATTGTTAAGTTTACAATTGTTTAGCATGTATTCAGAAACAAAAGATATATAGGGGAGGTTTACCCTTCCGCATGCCTAGATTACTTCGAGTCTATATTCTATTTTCATCTAAACATTACCTGTGCACAAGGAAACGGGATGGAACCCATTATCCAGAGTGATCACACATAAGGGATACGTTAGCAGTAGGTCTATATCCAGATTTACAATGAATATTGCAAGTATGTCCAAAATATGGAAGACAGTCATGTAAATTCACATTTGGTAGATAAGTAGTGCAGCGAGAAACTGCCCAAATTAAAGTCAAAATATAATTTAAAAAAAAAGAAAAATTCCGGAATAAAGACAATTTTTGATTTACTTTGTCCACGATCTATTAAAGAGTAGACAATTAATACAAGCATGGAAACGGAAATTACTATGGTAAAAATGTCCATGTCTTGGGAATCTGAAAAAATTATATTTTTGTAAATATAATGATCCTGATTTAATGCAATTACATGTAATTAAACCTATTCCACAAAATTTTGCATAGCTGAGGGTACTTCTCCTGTATCTCTGTTGTGTGAATTTTCGGACTGAAATTTGTTTCAAACTTAATATACTTTTAATGCGGTAAGTAGATCTAAAATTGCTTATTAATTTGCCATATGTGATAAATTCTGTATATATACATGATATATATATTTTTGTATCACCATGAAAAGCGGGACTTGTACCTCCTTGACACGTTGTTTGATCTGATTTTAGATCAACATCGTCCTCACAACCACACGTTCTTCCATTCGATGTTGGAAACCAGAACGTACTACAATTCATGTTATTTGTAGAACAACTCAAACTCACTAAAAGGAAAGATTAACTTTATAATACATGTCTGGTTTTGAACCGGTTTCATGAGATGAAAAAGTAATATCTTTCGAAATTTTGTATATTTGTTTACAAAGCATTAATACTTACTATCAACAGAATCATCTGTATACACATCCAGACTATCCAGTCTACCTAGCTCTGGATGACTTGACATGAATGTTATTTTTGAACCCGTTGCCTTGTTTATCTTTCGTACGCCTCTGCATTTCAAATATATAATATCTTATTTCGTTTGATTTGTTATTAAGCAAATGAAACAAGAGTCGAACTTATCTCGAATATTGTTCGTCAGAATACCATTAATATTGTTGTTAATTGTTAATTAAATTCTTTCAGAATAGAAATGATACTTCATTTTTGTAATTGAATATTATAAGATTTACAAATTATAGAAGTTTTTCCACTAATTAAAGTCTGCTAGGTCAAATTGCTCGTGTTAAAGGAAAACCCAAAGAAGCAAAACAAAACAAAAACAACTAAAAAAAAAAATTTTAAAAAAACTTTATAAAAAGATTAAAAGTTATATTCACTGTGATTTATTTACAGTTACAGACTACGGTCTCAAAGGAAGTAGAACAACTTGATGACAACTTTTTCCTGAAAGAGAAAAAGAAAAGTAAAGTTTAAACCAACTGTCTATTCGACGCTGTGTATTAGAGATATTGTTCATGAACAACAATTCCAATGGGAAATGCGTCTTTATCTGTTGTCAAAACATGTCTGTTTCCTCCATTTAAGTCAGAGTACTCAATACGATCTTTAGGTCCATCAGTCCAGTAAAGTCTATTGGCTGTAATGTAATAGAAGAATAAATTGTTATGAATCTTATTTCTAAAGAAGAGATACATCCAGCGATTGAATGTAAGGAAACAGAATGTAGCGGTATTTATTCATACATGTAAAATCGATTGCAAGACCAGTTGGGGCTCCAATTTTTGTTGTTGCTATGTAGGTTTGTGATGTTCCATCCATGCACGATCTACCTATTTCTCTGGTACTTCCGGTTTCTGACCAGTATAAAAATCTAAAACGTAAAACAAATCGTTTGATGAAAAGCATATCAATAATTTTTTTCATCATATTTTATATCAGATTACTTACACACTTCAGATAAATTCAATTACATTTATTTGATTTTTAAAGATATTATATATTTATATAATAATAAGCTTTATTTCATGCACTTACCTGTACATTAACCTACCCTTTTGATGGATATAGAACGATATCCTTTGGTCTGTGCAAGTTGGACAACAAAGTTTTATGAAGAAAACTCTTTCTATGTACAACTCCAATATAACTTTGACTTGATATAGAGGCTACTGCAGAAAAATATATGTTTCCCGCTGAATAGTCAATGGTCAAACGCTAAGCGTGGGCGAATCCTGTGAAATGCAATGGCGACAATAAAGAAAATACGATACAAATTGCTGAGGAGTAAAGATATCAATTTCCAATTTTAGTTTAAATATTAGGTTCTAAGTACCTGTTAAGTAGATCAAGGTTGTATACCTTCCATGAAGCGTTGTGGACATTATAATTTTCTATGAGCCATCGGAGTAGATGAGTTCCTTTGTCGACCTATCGAATGCTATTCCTGAAGAACTCTGTACACTGATCGGTAATTTAACTAAATTTCCCGTATATTAATATTAATCTGAAGGATCCTTCCTTGGGAGTTATCAACCACAATCAAGAAATTCTTCGTATAAACACCTTACAAAATTTAAAAAGAAAATTATAAGCAAATAAATTATGGATAAACTACCATGCAGAAAATTATCCCACTTACTGGCATCACAAGTTTTCAAATCTGCCTGGAGTTGCAAGCCGGAATCACTTTCACATTTTCGTCCACTTTGTATCGGCACACAAATATTTCACAACCACCATTCAGGACGTTGAAAACACCTGTATTGACAATAAGTTTCATAAGATTTAAATTTTCTGTGAAAGAATGCAAAGAAAGACATTGCTTTAAAACATGTTATATGAAAAAATTGTTACCATTTATGCAAATGTTAGGGAAACAAGGGTTTATTTGCTTAAAGTTTATCAATTGGCTTAGTCTATGTCTCGTTTGAAGTTATCATTCCGCAAGTTTTATGGTTGATACAATGACCTTGTCAGAAAATGCGATCTTTCAATAAGTAAAATGCTCACTGACGTTTTTCATACTAACTGTTAGGTCATTACTTAAACACTGAATTGTCTACGGATTCTTCCGTTTGCCCGACCATGACAGTGATCACACGGCGGGTATGACCGGTCGAGAAGAGATGCTTACTCCTCTGGTACTTGATACCACCTCCGATGTGTTTTAGAGGTCTCTGTTTGCTCTGCTCTCGATTGTTTCAATGGATTTTTTCACTGTTCATTATCCCCATTCATCATTATATAAAAATGAAAAAGGCTTTCAGTGACTTTTCAGTGGCCATTCAGTCACTGAATGGGAGGTACATTTCAGTGACCTTTCAGTTAACTTTCAGCCACAATTCAGGTACCTTTCAGCCACCATTCAGCGTACACATTTCAGTTATCTTTCAGTGACCTTTTCTTTCCCTTTCCGTCATCTTTCAGTTGCATTTCAGTGTCCTTTCAGTCGTAATTCAACGACTTTTTCATCGGCTTTTCATTAGTTTTTTTTTTTTTTTTTTTTTTTTTTTTTTCAGTAATTATTCCTTAACAATTTAATAAAATTATTTTTATCTTCATCTTTAATGAATGTGTTTCATTTATTATACTTTTTGCGATAAGAATATTCAAGTACGTTGAACTGGTAATGATTAGATGTTCAACTGTCTTCTGTCTAAATATAATTTTATTAATATTAAAAATTACAATTCAACTGTGGACTAATAAAATTCAAAATAGTTTTCGAATTTCTAATCTGTTGCCTGAAAATCGATTTAGAAAAATAAAATTATTTAATGATAAAAGATAATGATCCAATATTAGTATCAGAATTTGAGTGACTGATATAGAATTCTCTTTTTTCTTTCTGTAAAATCTCTAAAGCAGTGATAAACATTTCCACAACCTTATTCAATTTAATAAGTTGTTAAATACATGAACAATCAGCCAACCTGAAAAAAAAAAAATATATCAGTCAAAATATGCTCTTAATCTGTTTATATAAACAGGGAAAAAGTTTTCTTCTTATTTTTCAGAGATAATTTAGTTTTTCATTATTCTTGTGTCCATCTAACGCTGTATAATGCGATTATATTAGTTTTCATGGAAATATCTCGCAGTGAAATAAGAGACAGAATTAAATATTATTTAAGCCTCCTTTTGAAGAAACTTAATATTGTAAATTTTGTCTTATTTGTTAAAATCACATGATATTTAAGCTTTTAAATATATCGTTTTAAAATTATTTAACATAATTTTCTAGATAGAGAATTTAAAACTTTCTCCGAGTTGAAGATTTAACTTGAATCATTTCTTTGAGAAACAGGTGCCTGTCGCCGATAATTGTCATCATCCCGATAGGAGATGTGTAATTGATTAGTCTGCCCCAAAATCAGCACAATTAACATATTATATACAAAATGTATACAAGATATATACACATCGCCAAGTTCCTTGATACAACAAGTGAACTACATGTCTCAATTCGATTTCTATACAGATTTATCAATTTTAATACCAGTAGTTTTTAACAAGACGCCGTTGCGTAATGGATAAGGTGACAGACTACCATGTGGAAGGGCCCACGGTTCGACCTCGAGTTTCGAGACCTCGAGAATAGATTAATTTAATACTTTTATGAAAGGAAAACGTGAAATTCAAACTCGTAGTCAGCAAATAGGCCGATTATATAATAGAAAGATACAACTGAAAGATAGGTGAAAGACCACTGAAATGTATCTGTCATTCAGTCGATTGAATGATGAATGAAAGATCAGGAAAAATCACGGGAAAGGATCTATTCAGTGACCTTTCAGTGATCATTCAGTGGGCATTCAGTTACCATTCCGTCGACTGAATGGTATAATTTCATCCTGTGCTTTTTTCAGTATTTTTTATTACATTTCATGCATCGATCATCAGGCTTGCAGGTTTTAGGTAAATAATAGATAATTCATAAAACTTGGTTCTTTCTTTGAGCTTTTTATAAAGTTGAGAAAATATAGGTGAAAAGTAATCAACAGGTCTGTTTGAGAAATTGCAATTATATTTGAAGTGATTTTAAGTTAAAACCTACGTCGGAAAAGTCTTTGCCAAAAGGATTTTCAAACTTTCCAAAATCATTATTTAGCACTCGCTTATTAATCAATTCAAATTAAAAGGCATGTTTTCTTTATTAATGAATGTACTACAGCCTGTGCTATTTGAAATGATATTTATACACTGCGACTAAACATTTTCTGACTTTAAGTGGTACATGATAAAAAGGACTAGACAGAAAATTACAAAAATTATTTTTCAAATTTCACCGTTTACTGATTTTATTTACTGAAAAATAGTCATAGAATAAATTCTTTTAAAAAACGACAGAAAGCCCACATAACATGATATATAAGCAAATGCTCAAAAATTATCAAAGATTTTGAACCAATCTAAATGTATTATTTTTTTTTATTTTCCAAAAGTCTTTGTCAAAGGGTATCAAATCTGTTATATGATGAAAAACGGACCCTAATGATAATGAAAAGTGGGTAAAATATATACCTTTCTTTGCAAACTAATGAATATTTTTTTTTCACAATTATTACTACCTCTGTAGAGCTTTCTTCACTGTTTTGGAGTTACTTTCAGATTTACTAAGCAAAAAGGTTTAAAAAGTCAATAATTCAGGACATTTTTATAAACGAACCACCAAAGACACGTATAAATGATGAACAAATATTTGGAATATAAGGGATAGAATGTGAAAACATCATTTTGTAATAGATATTACTGTACATAAATACAATTTGAGACAGATCTTTTACAATGTACTCATTCGACATATAATCAAAATATATTTTTTGTTAAAAACTAAAGATTTCTTGGCAAGTTTGTATTCTTTCAACAGAGTTGAGTCCCGTTCAAATTATCACAGTTTTATTAGTTCGGACCAGATAGTAGCAGATTCCTTCAGACCTAGCAAAAACTTAATTGTGACGTGATACGACGTAGGTTCATGAAAAACATGTTGTTTTTAGCAAATATGAAAAATAGAATATTTTGTAGCTGAGAGATCATATGTACTCATAGATTAGCACAAGAAGTTTCCCATTTTGAAATATTCTGTATTATTATGCTTCCTGTCAGCTTGTCTCTACATAGTCAATACCCAACTATTTTCGCATAGTGGTCTAAGGATTTATATAGCGTAAGCATACTATGCCGAAATAGAGCACGGCTTCTTTTTCTGAAGAAAATCCGACAGCGCCCACGCCGGGGATCGAACTCACGACCCCAAGATTATCAGTCCGACGCACTACCGATTACGCTACAGACGCCGTTATCTATAACACTCTATTATAATATATATAAACTTAGTTTCAAAGATTTTACACTAAAAGAAAAAAAAATAAACAAAATAATTTTTATAAAATAGTATCTTGCAATTTTTTACCCTTAACACAACTAAATTTCTCAACTATCTGTACATGGAACATTCAAAATATTAAAGACAAAAGATCATGACGTACATGTAGCACAATGTGACGTCATAATAGGGGTGTACTAACATGAATGTAAGAGGTGATGAAACATTGGAAAGGGAGAAAATATTGTCGTTTTTATACAACAGTCAGCATAATAATTACAATAGTGTTGTACTTTGCATGCACTATGCCTAAATAGTAGTCAGGGTTTGACACATAGTGCACTCGCCTCCGGCTCGTGCACCATGTGTCAAACCCTGACTACTATTTAGGCATAGTGCATGCAAAGTACAACACTATTATATAATTATTATGCTTCCTGTCAGTTTGTCTCTATATAATCAATACCCAACTATTTTCGCATAGTGTTCTAAGGATTTATATAGCGTAAGCATACTATGCCGAAATAGTGCACGGCTGTCTTTTCTAGAGAAAATGTAATTAGCACCCACGCTGGGGATCGAACTCACGATCTGGAGAACGTCAGTCCAACGCGTTACCGATTACGCCACAAACACCGCTACTTTACGGAATGTATTTTCAAGTATATAAACGTAGTTTTTATACATTTGTCACAAAACAAGAAATAAATGAATATAATTTCTAAAAGACTGATATTATTGATAAGGATCTTAAAGATAAATTCTCTAACAAATAATCGAATTTATCAGTAACCAAAATTGCAACGTAACATGAACTGGTTCTTCGGAGTCAATAAAACGCTTTTTGATATAACGCTTGATTAAAGAATGTTCAAGAAAATTTTCATTTAGATTTAACGTCTGCAAACAGGTTTGGGATTGAGAATTTAATTAAATTGTCGTATACAAACAACAGTCAGCATAATAATTATAATAGTGTTATTATTTGGATGTACTATGCCGAAATAGTAGTCAGGGTTTGACACATAGTGCACTCGCCTCCGGCTCGTGCACCATGTGTCAAACCCTGACTACTATTTCGGCATAGTACATACAAATAATAACACTATTATATAAGTAGTATTACATTAATTTTATAATAGGACCTTATTTAATGGTTTAAATTGTACGTATTACCACATATACATTTCTTCATCATATTTTGTACAACAGCTTAAGGAAATTCTAAATACTTCTCAGTGAAGAGTTCTTATTTGATGGTAACTACCATAATACTTTGTAAAGTTTGTGTGATCTGTCCTTTCATGAAAAGGGGATAAACGGGGGTCTAAATCGCACAATTAAAATACATTAAAATATTCTTAACATTACATTAAACAAAGATAAAATAATTGATAATTAAGAAATAAATAACAAGTTTAAAAACTTCAATGGGAATTGAAGTGGGTCGGTCACGTGATCAAATCCTGTGAAGGCCGAAGGCCTTCTCAGAAGATTTGATCACGTACCGACCCACTTCAATTCCCAGTGAAGTTTTTAAACTTGTTATTTATTACTTATATATATATTTGAGACGGACAAATGATATTTAATATTGCATTAACCGTCCGCCATAGATTATATGACGAAACGTTGACTCAGAAACAGACAAAAGCATAACAAAAAGTAGTTCCTCAAAGTTCGACGAAATTTTTTTTAATATCCTGAAGAAAACAAGTATTTTTACAATTAATACACATATATCATGATAAAAACCATATTTCTTTATTTTTTTTAAGATTATATTTTATCAAATGTAAAAATTAGCACAACTGTCTTCCGCTTGGTGTGAGTCGCCTCAACAGGGAATTCAAACGAAAGAGGAAAGCATGTCAATTTTTGTTGATGGTGATAGTGCAGTTATTAAAGGTAGATTTCGTTAGAATCTCTGTTGTCATCATTCTTGAAGAACTTGTAGCTGATGTAGATTGGATGTCTAGCTGGGAATAGGTTGAAGAAGGTTGAAGAGGCAGGATGAGATCGGCATTTGGAGGAATTTCGGGAGTAACTTTAACAGACTCCACGGGCACAGGTAAGTTTAAGTTAGCAGATGAATGCGAAGAGTTCGCATATTCAGGATTTGTTAGCGATGCTAAAACTGTACTAGCTTTTTTCTTTTGCTGAACGGAAAGATCTCTATTGTAGGATTTTAAAGAGGCTTCGGATCTATGACCAGACATGAACATTATTTGCCTTGCTTCAAATCCTGCATCGTTCATAGCAGTTATTGCAGTATCACGCAGACAGTGGGGAGTATATGATTGTTGACATTTTGCGGACCTGGATATGTCCTTCATGAAGCATCTGAATGATTGTTTTTGAAGAGGTTTTGAAGTGTACCAGATGTCACAGGCACTTGGACAAGAGAGAGCATCTTTTAAACAGACATTAAACAGTTGAGTAGCTCCTTTTTCTGTTTTCGACATGAGGAGACGAAGCATTTTGAGAGGACAAGAAGGGGAATCTGGGACAGCGTAGAGGCGTTTGTCAGCAGGGGCTTCATCGCTGTGGAGACCACCTTGAAAATTTTTTTGCTGAGTCTCATGCCGGAGAACAACATATTCAGTATCGCCCTCACTACAGAATTCAAATGAATCAAGACGCAGTTGATGGTGAAATTCAAGGCCGCGAGAAACAAAGTGCACAGACAGATTATACCAGACACATTGACGGAGAACAATGGGTGAAAAAGGTGCAGCTTTGAAATAGGAAGAAATTTTTTCGAGATCATGTTGATTAAGAACTGTTTTATGCATTGTAGGCCTTGAAGCGCCGCTTTGGGTCATTTGTTTTAGCATCCCATCAAGGGTACGGTTTGCTGATTTGAACACAGTGTCGTGAACAATATCAATTGGCCGACCGATGTCTTGTAGGTGCCTATTGATTGCGGATCTTATGTTTTTGAGAGTATTCTTATGGTAGTGCTGTGTTTGAACATCAGTCATATTTTCTTTCCTTCTATTGCATTCCTTTGGTTTGGCCTCACAGTAAAATTTTCGTAGGTGTGATGCCAGGACCTCAGCTGTCACATTAGCAAAATCAAGTGATTCATCATAGACCTCAGAATGCCAATCTGAAATATTTAAATGACTTTGCTAGGAAAGGGGGAAACAGCTTTGAATAGTTTTAAAAAAAAAAAAAAAAGAAATGTAAGGTTTTTTTTTAAATTTAATTCTTTGTTTCAAATCTATTTAAAGGAAAAAGCTGATATTTTTAAAATTATTTACCTTGAAATAATTTAATAGCCCACTTTGTATTCATTTTTGTAGATTTTGACTGCCTTGCATCTTCAAACTTTTTTAGATCATTATCAGTACAAGACTTGAATCTTTTGGGTGCAGCTGGGGTCTCTGGAGGGGGGAGGCATGTAAAGGCACTCTCTAACAATTCTTCCTTCATTTCAATCACATTCTGGACTGAGGATACTACTTCCATATTTGATAGATCCAAATTTTCCATGATTTCATCATCAAAGAGGAGCAATAACTCCTCACAAATTTCATTTTCCCCAATATTAAAGTCTCCATAATTAGCCATGTTTCATGTATAATTTACATGTAAAATGCAGAAGCAGACGGATTTGTATAATTACATGGTTTTTATTTTTTTAGTCATATATTATGCATTTTTATTCAAGAAAATAAATGATAAATGTGGATTTGTTAATAAATACCACAAAACAAGGCTTTGTTTGGCATGTTTTATTGTTTTCAGTTGTGTGACCTACTTTACAATGTTTACATACAGAAAGTAGTACTACTCCATGTAGATATTATTACGCCATGCAATTCGACCATGTATTGACCTCTGACCTCTGAAAAACTTCATACAGAAATGAAGATATTTGCTCTCTGTATGTTTATATAATGGAGAAATACCACAAATGTATATATTATTATTTGCATGTACATAATATACCCAATGTACCTGAACAATCGTGATTTCTGTTCACTAATATGTCATTGTATTTGAACAATTTTTCCTTGAGAAATATGGCAGGTAATCTTTTTTTTTAAAATGTACTAGAAAAACTCAACATGTACAAATTTAAGCAAGAGAATTTTCTCAAAAGTCCAAAAAAAAAATTTAATTTAGTATTTAGTGCTTCCTCAAAGAACATACTCAGTAGCTGTTAGCATTCATAATATCAAATTTATGTAGAAACAAAACTAAATCTAACCACTTTTATCCCGCTGTAAAGAAGAATCATATATGACAATTTCTTTAGGACTTTGTATTAAATCAAAAACAATCTCTGAGGAAATTGCTGATTTCCTTGCAAAATATAGCCTGTTCTTGTCCATTTAGGTCAAAAAGGCATGAGCTGGCACATTTCCGTTGCTGTTTTCAGAGCAGAAGATGGATCTTTGAAGGTATTGGTATTAGCCAGACACATTTTATTTTGTGAATGTATTTATTTTGGAACATTTCAAGAAGATGATGACTAATACTCATAAACTTAATTAAGATAAGATGACAATATTCACATTTTAAATTTGAATAAATTGTTTATTTACTTTAAATATTTTGTGTATGTAAAATTGTCAGCTCACAAGGGGCAACTGAAAGTAGCTCTCATAGTTGGGGGGGGGGGGGAGGGGGCTTAAGTACCTTCGGCATCTGAGTCTGCATCAAAGGTTAAAGCTTTTTTAGTAGACTAATGGTTTAATGGTTTACAAATTTAAGAACCAAAATCTACACAATGGTCGTGGGATTATTGATGACAGAATACCATAAGGTTGCTGATTGATGAAATATTTCTAAAAATCTAACTATCGATTTTTAGATAATTTTTACATCATACATTCCAGATTCTGTTTTAAGAATTACATATTGTCATAATTAATAAGTGAATTTGTATAAAAATGTTTAATCTTATATTTTTAGCACAAGACATTTACTCATATTTTTGGGACAAACAAGATTGATTTGCTGTCACACCAGCTTACCCTTCAGAGTGTAAGGGTACAATTGCCTGGAGTAGAAGAGGTGTTTTTAAGGAGCGACAATGCTGGCTGCTACCACTGCGGGTGCCTGTCGCTGAGTTTACATGGATTAGTGAAAGAACAGGTGAGTTGACGATCGATTGCCTGCATGAATTTTTCATACATATAAACTGTTTACAGTTTTTTCCTCATATTATTTTTGTCATATCACACTTACAAACGATTTTGTCCTGCCTTAAATTTGCCTAGACACAGTTGTGTTAAAAATATAATTCCATCATTTTTGAATTCCCCCTGTAAACAGTTAAAGTTCGCTCACTTGCAACAAGGGTGAAAGGGACAAAGCAAAGCCCTGATCAGTCATGTATATATGGAAGGATCTTCAGGTAGTGTAGACTCAAGTTTGATCAAATTATGGCCACTTGCCTTTTAGGTAAGGTGGGGCCACAATTGGATATTAAAGTTTTGCATACTAGTAAACAGGATTTAAGTTGGGAAAAATCTTCTGATGAAGAACAGCAGGGCCATAGTGACTCAGATGAGTGTTGTGGCCCATGGGCTTCTTGTTTGGTTCAGGTAAGCAATGTTGCCTGTGGATTTCTTATTTTGATTGATGGTCCTCAATTTCCATTGCACATAGTGTATTCTAAAATAGCTATTTAAAACATTAAATGCTATTAACTGAATATGTCTATGACAATATTGCTTATTCATAATTGCATGATGAAGTGGTACTCAAAGATTGTTTTATGGATTCATTGATATTCCTGTTTGATGCATTATTTTTTTTCTTTTTTAGGTATCAGCATAGTACGCTATGACTTTAGTGAAGCTCAGGCAGGTAAAGCTATTGTAATGCCAAAATTGCACACATGCGCTCCAAATTAAGAATGTTTGTTTCATCAGGGAAGAATGTAACAACACCATTTGATATGAAGAAGGCAATAATGGATGGAAGTGTCGTAGTAGGATGCCAGTGTGCGGTTGTGGAAGTTGACAAGAAAAAAACAGACTATGATGAGTCATTGCATCAAAGGAGTTACTTCCATCAGTAATCTTGCCTTTAATTTGATGGAGAAGAAATCTTTGCATGGCACAGTTTCAATATGGGCATTGGTATGAAGATAAAGAGAGAAGATGTCTTGAAAACTGAACAGCTTGACACAGGACTCATCATACTATCAGACTTTGAAGAGCCACCAACAAAGTATGGTATGATCTCCTCTCAGAGAAAAGAAAACTCGTCAGATCCACAAAGACCCCATACCAGGATTTTCCACTGTTCCGAATTAGGCTGTAATCAGCAGTTCTCCTCTTATCAGCTTCTGCAAGAACATATGAATCTAGATCGACATTTGCAAGAAAAGACCTCTACATTTAATGAAATTCGACATCTTTGGTCAGAGACATGTCATTCAAATTTGTTCAAGTCTAAACAGAAGCATCAAATAGGCACAGATCGCAACTCCTTGGAAGATTCCAATTTTTCAGGAAAAATACTTCCACAAGTATGGACACTAAAATAAGCAAGAAAATTTGCTCGCTTCTCTACCAAAGTAAAAGAATTTCTCCAAAGAGTGTATCAAGAAGGTGAAGAATCAGGAAGGAAAGCGATTCCGATTGAAGTAGCTCAGCGTATGAGATCTCTGAGAGATAGCAATGGTGAGAATTTTTTCAGTTCTGAGGAATGGCTGCAGCCTTCTCAAATTAACTCTTATTTTGGTAGCCTTTCTCTGAATGGAAAGGCCAGTGGTTTCAAGGAGGAACCAGAGAATGATGAACACTTGAGAGAAGTCTTGCAGTCAATAGAAGAGGAGGAAGAAAGAGAAAACATAAGTAATACACTTTTGTTTGAGAATAGCAGCACGGTGTGATGTGAATAATATAAATGCATTCAGGTAGAGGCGTCTATATATTGATATTGTTAGCATTTTAGCGAATATATATTATGTGTCTGTGCGCGTGCAAAAAAATTCATAAATTTTATGATGTTTAAACTTTTTGTACCAATCGAATTATTGTTGAAGGTTTTTTTTTTCAAGTTTGTCATGGTAGCAATTTGTGATGCTGCATAAGGCCATTGCAAGTTTTTTCTCTGTTTAGCATCCACCCATCTTTCAAAAACCTACCTACCTATTTACAAAAAACGCACAAGCCTAAAATTAAACACAGACTTTAAAGTTGGAAAAATGATGACATTTAAAGGATATGATATATTAATCTATTTTTCTCAGAGAGAGATTTATTCCGTAGGAAAATCAATGTATTAAATGATTATTATATACCTAATATGACAGATTATAGAAAATATACAAAGAAATTGACAGAATTCAAAGGTTTATACCAAAAGAATCAATTTCAGGACTCCTAATTTTGTTTTGTTTTGTTGTTTTTTTTTTCTGATCTGGAGTTTCAAAACCAAAGCACAAGCGGACGCTAAACATATACAAAAAACTTTGGATGGCCTAAAACTTTATAAAACAAATTTTGTAAAGCTTGAATTTCAGAAGAAAAAGGCAAATTTTTGTACAAAGTTTGATTTTAGGGAAACATAAATGTTTTAACATGTAGCTTTGTTTGATTTTGGAAGGAGAAAATGACTCGTTAAAAATCATGTTTGTTATATATGGTTATCAAACATTGCTTTATATATTTTTAAAAGTAAATTATAGTCCGTAGTCATGGTAACCAAAGATTGTTTTTGACATATATAATGATTATTTAAGATGTATTTTATTTATGCTTATTTAAACGTGCTAGGTGACATATACAGCGGTAATTCTTTTTTCTGGCATTGTATGGATATATCTTTGCTATTTTCAACAAAAATGCATTTTAGACATATTCCGTTGCAAATTATCTGTAAAAACTAATTGGTTTAACTTAATTTTGCAATATATAAGACGTGTACTTCCTATTGTATATTCCCAAATTTCTTGAATAAGTGGTATATCTTCTTTAAAATACAACAGAAATGAGATGCTTTATGCTTTTTTTTTTTTGAATTTTTCAGGAGATTTTGTTGCCATGGTAACAAAATATATTAAGAAAACCCATGGGTTTTATTTAATTTTTTAATTGTTCATAATATGCACTGTCTAACATAAATAATCAGAATTAATGAATTTGTGTGATTTTTTCATAAAATTCTATTAAAATGTGCATGATTTTTAAAAAAGAAAATGTAAAAGGCAAATTTTATGAAACGCAGCAAAATGAACTAAAATTTAACACTTTTTAGAAATGATGAACAATTTTATCAATATGGTAATAATTGAATTTTTTTATATTACTTCCTGGGAAAAAAGATTCACTTGTGTTATTTTCATCGAAGAAGCATTGTTCCTTCATTAAATTATAGCTAAATTGACCAGTTTTGCTATTTGTTGCTTGCAAGCCTTTTACTATTACATGGCGTCTGGTTGCATGGCAACAAAGGCTGGCCAGTAAAATCATAGCATCCAATGATGTTCCCTTGGTCCATAAAGCAACATATCAAAATTTCAAAAAAATCTGAGATGGTCATGAATCACCCCTGCCTGGTTCTTACAAATAGCTTAAAGGTGCTTAGACACAGATTTGAAGTTAATATTTACTCAAATTTTCTGTATAATTTCATGACTTACATGTATATGTTGCTATAGCATTTCATACGAAAATTTGATAAAAATCTTATTTTATCTTGAAGTTATTGAAACTTCGAATTTCTGGACGCGTTTGATAGACACATCCTTGCACTTTCACAAATTTTAACTTTTTCCTTAGTACTTTAGAAAAGTAGCAATTTTGTCGTATATTAATGAAAAATATTAAAACTATAATGCAGAAATTCCAGAGTTGAAATGTAGAAAGCAAAATCCTCTCAACAGTATTGTCAGTCCGTGCTCAGTGGTGTGTGCAGAGTTTAACAATTGAACACACCCGGTGAAACGTAAACATTAACAACAACAGAGCTCGTGCCATGTTTACAAAATCAGTTTACGTTTCACGGGTGTATTCAATTTGTTAAACTCTGTACACAACTACACAACACTGAGCAGGGGCTGACAATACTTAAGTGAGTGGGTTTTGCTTTCGCACATTTTTACTCTGAATTTTCTGGATTATAGATGTAATATTATTCATTAATACACATTAAAATTGCTACTTTTCTTAAGTATTAAGGATAGAGTTAAAAATTGTGAAAGTGCAAGGATGTGATAATCAAACGCCCCCCGAAATTCGAAGTTTCAATAATTTCCAGATTAAATAAGTTTTTAATTTTATTTTCTTGTGAAATGCTATAGCAACATATAAGTTGTAATATTATATACAGAAAATTTGAGAAAATATAAACTTCAAATCTGTGTCTAAGCACCTTTAAGACACGCTTTATTCGAACAACACGCTCTTCTGGAGAAGAAAAACAACTATGTTCTCAACAAGTGTAATAACCTTGAAATACATGTCGTGTTTGTAAACATGTATTCCTAAGTACAACGTATACGTGAGCCAAACAATTGCAAACCCAAAGCCAGAATATTTTTAAAGCTTACGAAAATTTGGAAATAGTTTACAGCCTTTTACATGTACATGAAAATACTTCTTTGTTACTATTTATTATTACAATATTTGGATCCAGCAGGCATATTTGTATACAAGTTTTCTTTTTCTTATTCGTTTCGTTTTTTTTCTAAATCTATATTCAAATTTCTTTTTAAAATTGTAATTTCTGATATTTAAAAACCTGTTTTTGGAGGCCCATGTTTGCTCTGCTCCCAATTTGTATTGTTTTAGTGGACCTTGAGCTTATATACTGTTCGTTATCTCCATATTTCATAAACATAATGCAAATTTTAAATCACCTGGTGTAAGGGTACTGTATTAAACAGTTCAGCAAGTACAACATCTCCCTTTTGTCATTTCTTCTCTCTCTCATATTTATTATATTTTGTCAATCGTAAATTAACTTTTCTTATTCCTTGATTAATTTTATCAACAATTGCAACCTTTGTTTGAACAAACAGAAACTTTTTCAATGAATAAGTTCTCATGATAAAAAAAACCTTGTGAGAAGAAATATACATTCAATTAATAAAGGAATTAACAAAGTGTTGTTTTTCTTTATTTTTTTATAAATCTTAAAAGATTTTGATTAAAAATAATGATTTTTTACTTCATTTCAAATACATTATCGATCTTCATTACAAATATCTAATATATTTGATATCATTAAATACAAAGAACAAGTCTCAATAAGGCTTATCTGTGGTCCCCGGTTACTCGTCAAATTTCGAACATTTATTAAAATTTTTAAAAATTAAATTTTATTATTAACTTATGTCTTTATTATTTGAATCATCATCTAAAAATGTCAAACAATAGATATAGGCAGCATACGAAGCTGCGCGTTGAAGGTAGGGTCCTTTGATTTTCATGAATATCAAAAGAAATCAGTGACAGGTACACACTTCAAAGCTTTCATAAACACCGAGCACAGGTTTGTTCAGAGTCGAGTTTGAAATATAATGTGTATATTATATGTGTAAGGGTTGAGTGAAAATATCTTTGTTGAACAACTTTGTGCTCTATGTTTCCTAATTAAAAGTATTGTGATTTTGAATCTCTTCGCTGACTTCATTTACATGCGATTAACCTCTATATGACCTGTTTAGAATTGTATCGTTACGGGTAAATGCCTCCAGTAAACGTGCTAGTTCTCAGTTGAAACGTACTCAGTTTTATGTCGATCAGCATGGACTTGTTTGGTTCATCTTGTTATAGTTTTTATTGCCAAAGTTTTGTATAAAATAGAAAATGTATTTGTAGTTGATTGTGAATCTTGAACATAAAATTCGTCTTTGAAAGAAAAATATCATATCAAGATCTTCTTTTTATAGTATCTAATCTGAATGTCTCCGCCCATATCCATGTAATAGAGAAACCGTAGTCTGATCGGAGGAAAATGCTCCGGAATTTTTTAGTGCGATAGGTGTTAAAAATGGACTTGTATTTTTTGATATGTTTAATTATTCATTATAAATACACAATGTTTTAATTAGAAATACTTCGTTATACACCATGAAAACAAACAAAGTACCGTATGCTAATATTTAACCGGTAAACCAAGGGTGTAAAAAGGGACCACACTACAATACTTAAGTAGAATACTCCTATAAAAGAGGGACAACATCAAAGCAGCATTGAATGGTTAATAAATTGAGGAACTTAGATGTTTTGTTACATTGCTTTGTAGTTATTGAAGATATAATTACTTTCAATATTTAGGCTTTGAAATTAATGAAGTATATATCTTAGTATAACACATAAATATCAAATCAATGTGTTTGACTTACCAAAAGAAAAATACACATTTGTTGCTGTGGTTATAAGACAAACTATCGCCCGTAAAACAAACATTATTGTTTTATGAGAAACGAACATCCATTTAAATTAAATAGCAATATATAACTGGACAATTAGGGAAAGTACAGTATTTTTTGTAAAAACTGAATAAGGAAGTCACTTCTGCTCTGCTTCGTCAAATTTGAACATTTTTTAGAAGGACTGTATCACTTTCAAAGCAGCCTGTACCTGTATTTATTTACGTGCGTTATGAAAGATGATTTATAATGGTTTACTTAAATGTACCTAAGTTACCATAAACATTTTAAAGATTCAGTTTAATATTCATGATGATCAATTCATCATGGAACAAAAAGAATGATGTAACGACAAGAATCCATCCAGTCATATCACCTTTGAAGAAGGGTTTCAAAACTGATTGTGTTGTTTTAAGTTCCAATCGTGTTTTGCTTATATACCCATTCGTATGTTGTTTCTTTTTCTTCGACAAGCCCCGGCAATTGAAGTGAAAGTCGAAGGTCTTTCGGATGAAACCTTAAAAACGAGCCCCCTTGTCTCGGTAGCTGTTAGCATGATAAAGGACCCTCACTACCAATAAAAGGTCTAAATTTGAAGCCCTTCATCAGTCTTTTGTGACGTCTATAGAGAGGAAAATTCTCAAATGGGACTTAAAACAACTCCGTTGTAATAGAATTAATAGAAACTTTCTAATTTAATGATTGTTAAATGAGTTTACATTGGACAATTTTCATTTTTAATCTTAACCCTCTTATATTATCTTTTAACTTTGGTTTGGGTACTTACATGTACATAAGAATTGATACCTTATATCATGCACGGTTTTTCATTACGTGTTTATCAAAGAAAAGATATAAATCTGTAATGTTTGTAATTTAAGACAATTTTTATTTCACTTGGTTACATATAAGTATCAAAGCAAAATTAATATTTTTTTCTCTAGATTACTTTTACATAATGGAGAAAGTAATGTGAATTTCTCGTAAAACTTTCTGTAGTTGATTAGTAAAATACACTCACAAAAATGATGCTGTTAGTTATTTGTTTTTCTTCAACAGGTATTAGTTGGCGTTTAGAAAATAATTAAGGAAAAGCTAAAAGCCCTACTGAAAAAAAAAAACGTTAGTTTCTGACTAATTCATATTTCAATGTAAAACATAACAAATGTTCAGTAACGATACAAAAAAAATAATTAATTGTATTACAATCAATGTAAAATTTAAAAAAAAACAAATATTTGTCTGCTCATAAGTTTCTTGCTGCAGATGAGTAGCACAGTTTAGTAGCTATACACAGGGTTCAGATACATGTCTTTCATTGGTTCCACATATTCTGTAATGAACTGGTCATCAGTGGTAATGTATTCAGCAGGTTCTTGCCCCTCTTCTCTATTACTTCCAGTCAAATATCCACGACTTCTGATTATCGAGTAATTGTGTTCCGCGTGCACCGATGTCTGGTACGAATCGCTATAAAATCAAAGAGATAACATCAGAGTTTGAATAGGAAAAAATCTTTTGTTAGAAAGTTTTACTTGCTACATTTTTGAGATTTATGAGGCCGACATAAGTGACATTTTCTGGGCGTACATAATTTTAACTCTGGGTTGTAGCCAATTAGGTAAATTTTAGTTCGGGATCCATCGTAAACCCTACATGAAGGTTAACACGAAAGATCTACTGGAATTAAAAAAGGTTTTCTTCTGACTGACTTAAGACCCACCAAAGGCTATTAAAACTGATTATCATAGGCTTTCGTCTGTCTCTGCAAAACTACTTTTTGTGTAAATGAGACAGAGTCTAATGACCTGAGGGGTAGGGAGGAGCAACAATAGGGGATCAAGGTCTTATATGGAATTGTATAGGGAAAAATCTTTCAAAATCTTCTTCACAGGAACAGTTCAGTAAATATGCAAGATATGCAGGTAGTAGAGATTTAAGTTTGCTCAAATTTGGGCACCCAGAGGGTATACTACAGGGTTAGATCACTGTATTTAAATATGCAACCATTTCCAAGATATTTAGGTCAAAGATTCCTCAAGGTATGGACCCAAGGGCTAAGTTTGAACTAAAATCGGGATCAAATATTACATAAAGCATGAAAACAGGGGGGGGGATCTTTTGGGAAAAAATTCTTTTTTTCTCCAGAACATTGTTTTGATATTGAAGTTTTCCATCCCCATTTGTATAGATTTACGTTGATAAAGACGATTCTAAGAAGTAGGACGGGTACACAGTATGGGCTATATACTGTCCATGGGAATAAAAAGGGAAAAATCTTTTATAGAAATTATCAATGATAGTAGGGCCAAGGTGACTCAGATGAGCATTGTGATCCATGTGTCTCCTATTATAATCATGACCAAAATTGAGACGCATACAGGGTTCAAAGTTTGACAAAGTTATACTAAACAACTTCATATTAAAACATTACAATTACCGAGATTTATTTTTTCTTTTGAGGAAACACGCTATTGCAAGAGCTACAGCGAAAATTATTCCAGCGATGGCTGCAATTGATGATCCAATGTAGACATACATATTGTATATTTTAAAATAGTTTTCGCTATTGTGTTGTGAGGATGTGTTTCCTATGAAAAGAAATATAAGAAAATAAAATGTTAAAATCATTATTACTTTGAGGTATTTGGCATATTCAAGTGATTTATTTGTTATATTTTTGTAAGTTTTATTTTAGTGTTAAGTGCTATTTTTAACATAATTATTTTACAGTGTATTTATGATATGATGACATTTATTTAAAAACTGCTTTACAATGATATCATCATTTCTATCAGAGCAACATGTATTTGACGATTATATGTAATGCACAAACTGAGATATAGGCCATTTCAGATTTTACTATATGCAAAGTGGCACATTACACGACAAACCATACTCTTTGTTTTGAATCATTACTCCATGTAATGTATCTCAATTATGACACATACAAATTGTATTTAAAAATGTTTCCGAAGAAAAAAAATTTTCGAATGTACAACAGTTACAACTCTTTTCAAACTAGTTTCTTCTGTTGGATTTAGATTGATTAAAATTACTTTCTTTACGACACGAAAAATGAAATATGTAAAATTCTTTCAACTATGTTTTTATCTTTTTTTTATCACTGTATAAGTTAAATGATCAAAAAATTCCTATAAAGACCATATTTCTTCTTCGAAGATATAATTTGTTTTCAATAAGAAAGCAGCTTAGCATTTCAATTTTAACAAAATTTAATTTTCAACATTCTTCATGTTATACTTCAAGTTTATGTTTGAGGAAGATAAAATATAAATGATTCAAAAGAACAAGTCTTTTATAAAATTATTTAATCCACACATTTGCCAAAAAGAACTGAATCCGAAAACACGACATTTTTTAAGAATCCAAATATGGATCATTTTCGTATTTCTCAGACAATGCCTTACTTAAGCATAAATTTCTGGTGTTCTGGCTCCAGGTGCCCATATCTGTACAAAGTAAGTTCTTTGAAGTTGTCGGGGTATATCCATTATTACAAGAAAATGTGCAAGATTCACCTGCTTTTTGTGTGCAAGTTGATGATAACTTGACATGTTTTAAAGCTGACGTGCAGAATATCTCTAAAATCAGAGTCAATTAATGAACATTTTAGTGATTGTAACATCTACGCAGGTGAGTTAAGGCTAGGTATAGGCATTTTTATGTAAATAAACTAATTAAAATGCCTTAGGACTATATCTATTATACAGAGAAAGTTAAAACTTATTGTCTGATACATATTTGGTACCCACGACATGAAATAGTCAGTACATATTATGACGTCATATTATGACGTCATTGTTCTTTACTATACAAGATTATAATGGACTTCAACAAAAACGCTTCGGCGCAAGGGCATACTCTATTTTATTTAAATGAAACAAGGTATATTAAGGAGCAAAATATTCCAAAGATTGCTGGTATTGCTGCACACATATCAACAGCTCAGTTGTATAATTTCTATTTGTAAAGTTTTAAGTTGAATCAGGGTAAAAATGTACAGTCCGTTATAAGTTTCCTCAAATTCTGATCAAATGCCTAGGATTTGTGTAGCAGTTTTATTAATATATAGAATATTCTTCTTAGCATTATACAATTTTTATGTAAATATAAATATGGTAATCCCTTGTGCCGAAGCTGTTTTGTTGATGGGTTTTATTACCTCCAGTAGGTAAGATCAGTGACGTCATAACATGATGTCATAATGCGTACTGCCTATAACATATCGTGGGTACTAAGTATGCATAAGAAAATAAATCAAAACTTTCTCTGAATAATAAATATACCTGTTATGCGTTTTTATTAGCTCATTTGCATAGAAACGCCTATACATAGCCTTAACTCACATGCATAAAACTCTATTTATTCATTAGTAAGTTAAATCAACGAGCTACTTAATCATGAAAGTATGTGAAAACAGTATTATAGAAAAAAAAACAAAGTAAAATCTAGTTTTATATTCTTACTACTTTGGAAATTATTCATAACAGAGCAATAAGTTTTGAAAACACTTTCAAACGAATAAAGGACCAGTTTTGTTCTCTGGGAAAAGTAAAACCCTCTTTAGATTTGTTTTTTTTTTTTTTTTTTTTTTACATGTATGTATTTCAACTCGCAGGTTTTAACAAATCTTCGACTCTTTAGGACAAGAACAACATTCTCTTCCTCAAAAAAGTTATATCACGGCAAGATGAAGATCCACATAAAAGCACCTTTCAATCCTAAAGTATATTACATTACTTAAGTTTCCCTTTCTCTCTCTAAAACACTAACCACACATAAACCCGTAAAATTAAAATTTGGAAATTGGCAAAGAAAACAGTTGACTTGTTGGCATTTAATTTTTCCATTTATTACAAAAAACTGGATGTTGAAAATGGTCAAGAATAAGCTAAAATAAATTAGCTCAACATGCCTTTGAGAACTAATTAAATGCACATTTTGGAAATAAATATTGATAAATTATACCATTTTATTATAGTTTTCACATTCAAAGCTGGTATTTTGATATTGCTACGTTTTATAGTATTAAGTTACTCCCCCTTTTGTAGGAATAACAGCGTTATGCCACTTGTGCTAGTCACTAAGTTTCCATAGAACATTTATGGAATGAGTTTCATTTCCTCTGAAGTGTCTCCCAAATGTCTTGTTCAAGCCGTTGGCATGTTGTCATCAAAATCTTTTTATTCCACAGAAAATACAATTTCGCATAAATTATTTCAGATTGAATATATATTGGGATCATTTCCTGGCAGCGTTAGTGTAGGATACTCCATGCTTTTTTTTTTTTTTTTTTTTTTTTTTTTTTTTTTTGAGATACTAAAAGATTATGTACAATATGTGCTTGATAAATATTTCCCAAAAAACTATTTGTATGAATTATTATAGTATATTATAGTGTTGCTCAAACAACACCAGAGAGTTTCCCAGAAGTAATGCAGATTCCACACTTTCTTTTTCATGGAACAGTCCTGATTCATACTAAAAATATATACATATTTGGGGTCAGATAAAGTAGACCGATTCTTACTGAAAACAGGCGAACTAAGTATAGATTTTAAGATATATCTAAGGCACTCTAGCAAGAACGGTGCTCATTTAAAAAAAAGGCTCTGTGAAAACCTGTTTCATTACATGCATAATTGCATTGAAGTTGTTATTCGTGCAACAAGAGGAGAAAATATGTACAACAAAAATTGTCAATTACGAAAACATGTATAAGAACTTTAATAAAATTCCAAAATTCATCATATCTGTAATTGTTTGGTAGGTATACATTTACGCCAAAAATGTGCATTTAGTAAGTTCACAAAAATATTCAGTTAAAAGTTTTTGAGCTGTATATTTCAGGTCTGTATGAAGCAATATCAGTTTGGGCACAGCCTACATAATTTCTTGAAAACAAACAAATGGGTCATGGATGTTTTAATTGAGGGAAGACAAGCGTAGATTGTTAAGTTTACAAGTGTTTAGCATGTACTCAAAAAACAAAAGAAATATAGGGGAGGTGTACCCTTCCCCATGCCTAGATTACTTCGAGTCTGTATTATATTTTCATGTAAAATGTTAAAACATTACCTGTGCACAAGGAAACTGGGGATGGATCCCATTGTCCAGAGTGATCACACATAAGGGATACATTAGCTGTAAGTCTATATCCAGAATTACAGTGAATTTTGCAGGTATGTCCAGGATATGGAAGACAGTCATGTAAAATCACATTGGGTAGAGAAGTAGCGCAGCGAGAAACTGCCCAAATTAAAGTCAAGATATAACTTTTAAAAAAAATTAAAAATTTCGGAATAAAGATAATTTTGATTTACTTTGTCCACGATCTATTAAAAGGTAATCCAATTAATACAAGCATGAAAACGGAAATTACTATGGTAAAAATGTCCATGTCTTAGAAATCTGAAACAAGAGGCCCATGGGCCACATCGCTCACCTGAGTAACTTTGGCCATGCTGTTCTTTACCAGATTTCCCCACTTGTAATACCTATTGCATCCCACCCTATCCCCGTGGGTCATGAGTTGAACAATTTAGAATCTACACTACCCCAGGATGGTTCCACATAAATTTAAGCTTTTCTGATCAAGTGGTTCCTGAGAAGTGGTTCTTCCAGGATGCTTCCACATAAGTTTCAAATTTTCTGGTCCAGTGGTTCTTGAGAAGAAGATTTTTAAAGACTTTTCCTATATATTTCAATGTAAAACGTGGATTCCCTATTGTGGCCCCACCCTACCCCCGGGGGTCATGATTTTAACAATTTAGAATCTACGCTACCCCAGGATGCCTCCACATAAGTTTCAGCTTTTCTGGCCATATGGTTCTTGAGAAGAAGATTTTTTAATGACCCCATCCTATTTTGGTCTTTTCTTGATTATCTCCCTTGTAAGGGGACTTGGCCCTTTATTTTAACAATTTAAACTCCCCTTTACCCAAGGATACTTTGTACCAAGTTTGTTTAAATTGGCCCAGTGGTTCTTGAGAAGAAGTTGAAAATGTGAAAAGTTTACAGACGGACGGACGGATGACGGACAACAGGTGATCAGAAAAGCTCACTTGAGCTTTCAGCTCAGGTGAGCTAAAAATTAAATATATTTTTGTAAATATAATCCTGACTTAATGCAATTACATGTAATTACATGTATATCTTTTCCACAAAATTTTGCATAGCTGAGGGTACTTCACCTCTACCCCTGTTGTCTCAAGTTTCGGACTGAAATTTGTTTCCAACTTAATAGACTTTTAATGCGGTAAGTAATTCTAAAATTGCTTATTAATTTGTCATATGGGATTAAATTCTCTGTATTTATATATTTTTGTATCACCATGAAAAGCTGACTTGTACCTCCTTGACACGTTGTATGATCTGATTTGAGATCAACATCGTCCTCACATCCACACGTTCTTCCATTCGGTGTTGGAAAGCAGAACGTACTACAATTACCGTTATTTGTAGAACAACTGAAACTCACTAAAAGGAAAGATTAACTTTATAATACATGTCTGGTTTTGAACCGGTTTCATGAGATGAAAAAGAAATATCTTTCGAAATTTTTTGTATTTGTTAACAAAGCATTAATGGACTTTTGCGAGAAGCACTGACTTTAACAGTCGACGACTTACTTTGACATTTAAACTACCTTATGTACTTAGGTACGGAATTGATAAATGACAAGAAAACCTTAATAGTGGTTATAGATATTTTGTTTGGAGCACTTACATGATTAACTGGTATGCAATCAACACAAGAGATGATTGGAGGCAGAATTACATAGCTTAAATTATTTATTCGTAAGGATTAGTATCTCCTTTCAATCTCATTTTCTGAAGGAATCAAATAAGGAAGAAAAAACATTCCGGAAGGAAAACTAAGCAAGAGTTGGTCAATGTGGGAAGGGAGGGGGTTGAGGGTAGGGTGGTTGCCGTTCCCTTCCTAGACAACGTAATATGTGCTTTGAAATGGTCCATTTCTTTCGTTTAATTAACTATTAAGCTTAATTTTTATATCGCAAAAGAGCTTCCATAAAATGTCCTGGTGAAAAAGTAGGCCGTCGATTGTAAAAGTCAGTGCTTCTCGCAAAAAGTCCAATGCTTACTATCAACAGAATCTTCTGTATACACATCCAGACTATCCAGTCTACCTAGCTCTGGATGACTTGACATGAATGTCACTTTTGAACCCGTTGCCTTGTTTATCTTTGTTACCCCTCTGCATTTAAAAAAAATGTCATATTTCGTTTGATTTGTTAATAAGCAAATAAAACAAGAGTCGAACTTACCTTGAATATTGTTCGTCAGAATATCATTAACATTGTTGTTAATTGTTAATTTAATTGTTTAAGAATAGAAATATACTTCATATTTGTAATTGAATATTATAAGATTAACAGATTATAGAAGTTTTTTCACTAGTTAATGTAAGCTAGGTCAAATTGCGCGTGTTAAAGGGAAACCCAAAGAAGCAAAAAGCAACGCAAAACAAAAACAAACAAATAAAAAAAATCGGAAAACTTTATAAAAAGATTAAAAGTTATATTCACTCTGATTTATTTTACAGTTACAGACTACG